TGATCTCAGCAGGGGAGAACTTCTTAGAATAGAATGCCACCGGATGTAGCTTCCCATCATCCCCATACTGAGAGAGCACCGCTCCCTTGGCAAAATCACTGGCATCTGTCTCGACCACCGTTCTCCTACTAGGGTCAAAATGAAGGAGGATTGGAGCGCTTGTGAACAGCCTCTTGAGTTCTTCAAAGGCCTGCTCATGTGCTGCTGTCCAATACCATTTCTTGTCTTTTTGCAGGAGGTCAGTTAGTGGTTTGCAAACCTTACTGAAGCCTTCAATAAAGCGGCGATAGAAGTTTGCAAATCCGAGGAATGCCTGTACTGCCTTGATATTCTCAGGGACCGGCCATTCCTTAACTGCCTCCACCTTGTCTTCTGACATAGATACTCCTTGTTCCGAGATATGATAGCCTAGGTATTCTACTTCTCGGACATGGAAGGATGTCTTATTGATCGAGGCACAGAGCTTAGCTTCCCTAAGCTTCTGTAGTACCTTCTTGACCAATAGCTCATGCTCTTTCTCAGTCTCCGAGTAGATGAGGATGTCATCAATATAGACAACTACTCCTTCATCCAGTAGTTCCTTTAGCACATCATTGATCATTGCCTGGAAAGCGGAGGGAGCATTGCATAGACCAAATGGCATCACATTATACTGATACAGTCCATAGCGGGTTCTGAAAGCGGTTTTCCACTCATCACCTTCGGCTATCCTGATCAAATTGAAGCCGTTCTTCAGGTCTATCTTTGTGAAGATCTTGGCCTTGAACAACCTGTCTCTGAGCTCACTCATGATAGGCAGCGGGTACTTGTCCTTGACAGTGACCTTGTTCAAACCTCTGTAATCCACACAAATCCGCAATGTACCATCCTTCTTAGGAATGAACAATATGGGTGCCGCAGCAGGGCTGTTAGATCTAGAGATCTTTCCTGAAGACAATTCTTTGTCCAGGTACTCTCGGAGGGCCTTCAATTCTGGAGCGGAACATGGGTACAGCGGGCCAAATGGGGGAGCGGTGCCAGGCAAGAGTTTGATCTTCAAATCATTATGGGAAGGCGGTGGCATTTCCTCAATCTTCTCTTGACTGAACACATCAGCCCAATCCCGGTATAGGTGGTGTATTTTCTCAGCAATATCACCTCCGTCCTCATCATGCCATACTGAACCAACCAATTGATAGACAGTCTCTTCTTCTTCCAACATTTGGTATGGAGAGATCAGTTCAATCTTGGTGGCCGCTGGGAGACAATTCTGCTTGCAGTAGTCACTCCTCCAGCTCATGGTGTTGAGTTCCCAGTTGATGTCCGGGTTATGCTTCCTAGCCCAACTAATTGGCAGGTAACCGGTCATTCCTTCTTCCAGTGTAGCCACCTCCCATCGGAGTGTCTCTTTATGATCTCCCATAGTCATGCGGACCGGGTGAGTGTAATACTCCCCTCCTCCCATCATGACATCTCCTTGAGCATCAAACATTGTCAGAGGTTGATCCCGCCGCACTAAGGGAATTCCATGTTTCCTGACAAAACTCTGGTTGAGGATAGCTCCTGTACAACCGGTGTCAAACAGGAAAGACCCTTGGGCGCCTTCATCTTTTCCTTTGACCGTCCATGACAGTCCTGCCTTCAGTATAGGTCTTTTTCCATGTACTGGTAAGGAGGGAAGCCTCTGTTCCAGCCTTCTTTGCTTAACAGCGGGTTCTGAACTTGTTTCTCTTTGTCTTTTCAACATAGCTAATAGCTTCGGGCACTACTAAGATCAGAGATCCTTTGGTTCTATTCCCAAGCGGTAATATAGCAGATATATTGTGTAGTAGTCTTTTTAGCAGCGGTTTTGGAAGTGTCTTGGTAGCAAATGTAACTTTGGTAGAGCACTGACAGACCAGCTGTTTCGGGTCTTAAACCCATCCTCAGAGTGCTTGGAGCAATCAAATAGGCGGAAACACAATCATAATTTTTATTCAAGAGAAACATAGAAACCGAAAAACCCATATAAAAGAAAACTAGTAAACATAGACTAAAAACAGACACCTTTCTACCAGATGATTTCATTGTCCGAGTCTTGCTCAGGCTGAAAAACAAAATCTTCTGTAACCTCCGGGAGTACAACAAGTGGATCCTCTGCTATTACAGCAGCCACTTTAGCCTTCTTCTGAGAGTTGGACTTGCCATTCCCTCTTTTCCGCTTTTGTACTCTCACTGCTGCCACTCGGACAACAGTAGGTTCCCTAGACCAACAATCGGTCCATTTGTGTCTGGACTTGCCGCACTATTGCACAAGTCAGTCTATGCACTCTACCAATAGGGAGTACCGGAAGGTCATACCTTCAAGCATACTTCTGCTTTCCTTCTTTCTTCTAGAATATCCCCCGGGATACCCTTCAGTTCCACCGCTTTATCCTTAGGTCCGGGAGTCTTCTGAGGGCCGGAGGAGCTCACAGCTTCTCTTTTCCTCTTAGGCTGCTGGTCCTTCTGAGCGGGAGGATCTTTCTTGGTCCGAGGGTGCGCTTTCTCAGCTGCCATCCCTTGGTACCTCTCATGGGTGTGCCCTAACTCTCTTAGAGCAGCTATCCGCTCCATCAAGGACTTTGGCTTGGGATTAAAAAGAGCCCAACTCATGCCTAGGTCCGGGAGGAGGGAATTATGAATCTTATCATCCACCAACTGACCCTCATAGCCAGTCTTCCACATCAGCTGAATAATAGTATTCAGGAACAGGTCTATTCCTCCTCGAGCTGTGTGGGTGAGGGTATTCCATTGGGCTACAGCATCATCTCTAGAGATGGCTTCACCGAAGGCAGCTCTAAAAGCATCCACAAAGGAATCCCAGCGCTTCCATCTCTGATCCAACTGCACCGGTATTCCAGCAAGGCGGTTGGCGGAGGCTTGATCAATTGAATTGTGGTATGCCTCATACCATCGGATCGCTGCCTCGCCTTCCATCAGATTGCCTGCATATCGGATCTTAACCTCCTCAGAGGTAAAGGACAGGCTCTCAATGGAGAACACATTCTCACATTGCCGGATAAAGGTTTCCACTTGCTCCGCCTTGCCCTGAAACTTAGACGGTGGTGGCGCCTTTGGTTCTCGAGCTCTGGTGGAAGTAGAAGGGTGGGAGGTGGTCGGAGGTTGATACTGCTGGGACATCATTGCCAACAGATTCTTCTGTTGCCTCTCCAACTTCTTCTTAAGGTATTTCCGCCAATCTCTTCTGTTACCACCTTCTGGTTCCGAGTCTGGGCTGTCAGAATTATCCGAATCTCCTGGAGCGGGAGCGCGGGCTGCTGGAGGTGGAGGGTTCTGATTTCCGCCACTTCCTCCTTGTGCCTGGGCTGGAGGGGGAGCGGTGGCCGCAGCAGGAGGGGCCACAGGTGCTACTGGTACCGGGTTGCTGGCCAGTGGTGAGGTTGCTGCTGGTTGAGCAGCCCCAGACATGGTAAACCTTCCTGGGTTCCTGGCTAGCGGACTAGGAGGTCCTCGGCCTGCACCTGAGAAGAACTCTCCTTCATAGTCAAAGGATCGGTCGGCTCCTCCAAGGAGTGGATGTGTTCCACCGAAGCGGCTAGGTGGTAAGGGTGAAGCCCCCACCGCTGGCTGCACAATAGGGATAACTCTCCTAGTGGATCGGACCGGAAATGCTGCAAAGGGGCTGGTCTTCCGCTGCATTGTCCTGGTAGCTGCTCTGGAAGAGGACCTGGAGACTGAAAATGGTGCCGGAGTTGCTGGTCTACCCACCACCAACCTTCCTTCATCAAGAGCTCTCTGTATCTCGGCAACAAAGTCTGGTGGAGTGGCCAGATTTGTCCACTCAATCTCCATGGCATCAACATCGGCATTCAGTTCATCTCTTTCTGCATACTTCCGAAGCTCTTCCTGAACAGAGTTGACTTCCGACCTCATGTATTCTAGAGCTTCTGCCATCAGAGCATTCTGTGCTGCCTGGCGCTCTTGTACAATGAGCAGTGCCTGACTGCCTCGGTTCAACTGACTCTGCAGGCTATGCTGGAGGTAGGTCTGAAGCTCCGTGAAGAACTGTTGTAAGGAAACCTCATCGGTATCCTGCCAGGCAGGCTCACAGCCGGGAATATAGGCCTGTAGAGCGGTCCTGGGTTTCTTAACAAGCTGTGTCTGCCCGGTGGCATCAAGCTGGAGGGGCACCGGCTGCCATTCAATCTGAAGGGGTGCATCTGGAGCCGAGAGGGCGGACATTTTGTATAGAGGAAGAATAATCTGAAGGTGATTTGAGCCTTAAAGATTATCTGTAACGGGGGTCCTTTCTAAAAGAAATAGATTTGTATAGAATAGAGACGGCCGTGCAAGATAGACAATCAGGTTGCAGATTATTCAAAGATTCTATCGCTAGAACTCAATAATCTTTAAGGGCTCTGCTACCGATAAGAACTTGATTTTTCTTTCTGATGAAGACTGAGGAGAACCGGACTGAAGGGCGAGAATGAACCTGAGTACTTATACTCCGAAGGCCTCTATTCTCTGCTCCTAACTCCTTACTAAGTTCCGGTGGGCCTTTTCTTAGTACCGGAAACAACTCCACCGCTACCCCGCTTTTCTCTAAGCGTCAGCAGGTGTTTCCGATACTCAAGGCAACCAACCTTAGTCAAAGCCTTTGTAACACCTGCAGCCTTGGTTGCCACACAACCGAGGACCTGCATGAATGAGCTGCCGCTCAGGTGTAAGCTTAATCATTGCTGTAGAGCTTTCGCTTATTGTAGACTTCCCTAGCATAGTCCCTGCCCTTCGGCGGACTTACGATGCTCAGAGGATACAGGAGATCACCGGGCAATCAGAGCTTCACTCTGGCCGGTCTTCTAGTCACTGGCGAGGCATAGACTCGTCAGTCTTTGCTCCCATGAATAGATCCCCTTCCTAGCGCCCGGAATGTAGTTACTCTAACAGCTGGTAGCTAACCACACTGCTGGTACTTGCATATCACCGTGCAACTGGCTTCTAACAATAACTCTCAGCATGTAACCGGGCCCTGTGTGTACTCATACACCAGACAGTTGAAATGGCTCCGTTACAGTCTTTCCCTTAAGCGTACTGTGAGGTAGCCTGTTTTTGAGGTAGACAGCTGTTGCGTATGCTTCTCCCCATAACGACTTAGGATGGTCCATGATCATGCACCTGACCATTGTGGTTACCGTCCTGTTGAATCGTTCTGCAACTCCATTAGATTCAGGAGTGTATGGGGGAGTCTGTTCATGAACTATTCCTTGTGAATCGAAGTAGTTCGTTATGTCCTTGTTGATGTATTCACCACCACCATCCGTTCTGAATCTCAGTATTGTTGTGCTATACTGTTTTTCGATCCTTGTAACGTAGTCCTTGATGGCCTTCTTTGCGTCTTCTTTCTGTTTCAGGAGATATATCCATGCGAAGCGGGTGTAATCATCGATGAAGGACATATAGTACTGAGCTTTCCCTTGTGACTGTATACTGAACTTTCCAGATAGATCTGAGTGGATTAGTTCGAATGGTCGTTTGGATCTAGTACTAATTGGTGCAGGTTTCTTATGTACGCTTTTTGATAGTGCACATTGACTGCAGTGGAAACTTTCTGGTTTAGGAGGCAGCCTTTGAATGTCGTGATACAAGTTTTCTAGTGTCGCAGGGTGGCCTAACGCTTGATGCCATTCATCGTAAGAGGTCAAACGAACTGTATTGCTAACTACTTGTACATTCCAAAGTCCCTTTTCCAATTTTGCCCAAATTATTCCTTTCTTTTCTTTTGTAACCAACTTGCTTCCTCCTCCTGACTCCGTTCTAAATCCCTTTTTGTCGAGCACGGTTTCGGAGACCAATCCCACATTTCCCAAGGTTGGGACCAACAGCACATCGGTGAGGAGTATGGAAGATCTACTTCCATCGGGAAGGTGGCAGCTGAAACTAGCGCTTCCCATTCCGGTGACAGCGTGGTTGGTTCCATCAGCTGTTCGGACGTTGCCGGTGTGAGGTCGGATGTCGATGAGTTGGTCTTGGAAGGGTGTGACGTGAGAGGTCGCTCCAGAATCAAGGATCCAAGTAAGGGGTTGGGAGTTGTTGTGGCGTACCATACAGATAGTGGTTGTAGAGTCATTTACTACAACCGATGCCGAGTTGTCCTTTCTCCTTCCCTTTCTGTTCTTGTTCTGTTCTTTGAGCTTTCTGCATTCCGTGTACTCGTGGCCTTTGTAAGGCTGTCCCCTTTTCTTGCACCAGGTGCATTCCTTGTCGCTTGTGGTACTCCTGGTATGGAGTACCTTGTTCCCTGTTTGAGGGGCTACCTCATCCAGGTTCTGTAGTCGTTGGCGTACGTCTTCGTAGGTAACATCCTGTTTGGTTTGGATGTTGTCGACGACGTTGCTCATCGATTTGGGTAGCGAACTTAGGAGGAATGCCGCCATGGCTTCGTTGGATTTGGTGAGGGGTAGGAGAGCCTGAGCGAGTTTGTGGTCTGCGCTTTGGCATCTGGACTTGAGAGTATTCCAGTTCGCATCGAAGGTCGCGAGATGCTCGGTCAGTGATCCGCCTTCTTGCATCTTCGTGTCTAGGACGCGGCTGAGGAGGGTGATCGTGGTGTTGGGTGAGACACGATCGTAGAGGTCTTTGAGCGCCTTCCATGCGTAGAATGCATTTTCGGCGGAGACGACTGTTGGTTGTATTTCTTCGCATACAGCAGAGATGAGAAGGCTGTGCATTTGTTTACGAGCCTTCTTTATCTCGGTTTTGCTGAGTTCGGTGTCATTCTCGTCAGGGTTCTCGATGCTCAACGCTTCCCACCAGTCTACAGCGTCGAACGTTATCCTCCAGGCACTCGCCCAAGTTTGGTAGTTGGATTGCCCTTGTAGTTTAGGGAGTCCATCAAACTTGAGACGAATGTTACTGGTAGCTGTTGTCTCTGAGGGTTTAATCTCAGCAGCCTTGGATGACGATTCTCCTTCTGAAGGCATGATGTTGTTGGAAGTGTTGTTGAGTTAAGCGAGGTGGCGATGGTGTAGTGCGGATTCTATTTGGCAGAACCCGGGCTCATAACCTGTGAATTGGAGTGTGGGAGAATAGACGACTTGAGGAGGGTTTGAACACGTGACCTTTGTGAGGAATATGTTTATAGTGCAAAGAAGATACTATTGCGCCGCTGAGTTCCAGCGACAACTATGGGAGTTTGTTGCTCCTTATATACAGATAGTTCTTAGTACCACGTGATCCCCTGATTACATAATCCTAGCACTAAGCCTCCTTGTTCCAACTATGAGTCATCCCTTATACATGAGTAATTACCATACATAACCGATGTCGCAATGCCATATTTTTACAAAATATACTTCAGAGGCCGCACTATATACTCTCTTTTCATTTTATAGTTCAAGTTCTTCTCATCATTGGGGTTGGTGTTAAGTGCAGGCGTTGTTTCCTCACTTTTCCCCGTGGGTGTACCATCCATGGCCTCATCTCCATCCGGAGGAAGTATATGTTATAGCCAAGAGTTGTCCTGAGGTCCTCGCGCGAGGCAAGGACACATAGCTAGAGCCCTCGATCGAGGCTCCTTATTCTTTTGGACCACTGTCCTTGTATGTTATTGAGTACATGTTCTCGAGGCAGGACACAAGAGCGCCCGTCCTCGTGGACCACACTACCTCAGACGTTGAGCGGACTCCCCATTAATTAATCAATTGTCGAGCAATCCTGTTCAATGTCTTTAACTCAGTACTAATAGTATATATTGCGTCTAGGAGTTGTATAAGTCTTAGCTTATGCATATGCGACATATTATGGCAACTGGGTGGTGGTCGACTTTATACCATCCGCACAATTGGTGGGACCCATTGCGCATTTTATAGAATCCAATTGAGCGGGTTGCGCAGTTGAATCTTCGCAGGAGGGCGCAGGGGGTGCAGGATGCGCAGCCGAGTCGATCAGGGCCACCCCCCCGAGCCTAACAACTCGCGGAGTTTTTACTCCAGACTACAGAGGGGAAATTGGTTAAATTCCCAATTACGGTACTACAGCCCCTTGATAACCCTGCCCATCCCGTATCACTCTATATAATTCTGGACTAGGGCATATGCTAATAATTTTAAACAACCTTTTAAGAACATAAAGGGTTATTACAGCCTTATTTATGACTTACAAAATACCTACACATACATGGCTTATCGGAGGCTTATATAGGACACAGGGTCATTATATGGCCGTGGATACACTAATACACCTGATATCACTCGACCAAACCACTTACAGATACCTAGAGATCCTTTTTGTGGAAAAAGTCCCCAGGATATCCCCGGGGGCGTATAAGGGCCCGTTTGGCTGTTTTGGAGGTATCGAAACCCCCTTTAGTAACTGCTCCGCTAGGCAAGGGATAACAGAGATTTTTCAAAACGGAGTTTAGGTTTATTTGGCCTGCCAAACACCTGTTGAGATTTTGACTGTTAAGGTTGATTTTTTGGTGGGGTTTGGGGTTGTGATGGCTGGAACAGCGAAACGGAGCTGTTTCAACACCCTGATAGAGTTACAAAATTGGTTGTCCAAACACAAAATCTTTTGGCAAAACGGAGTTTCGAAGAAAATCAAACGGAGTTATGTGGTTGCCATATAAACCCATCTCCTATAACTCCGTTTCGACTGGCGGCCAAACGGGCCCTAAGGTCCCAGTTATCTTTACCTACCCTCGCAGGCAGGATTATTATTCTATCTACTCTAAAGTCGCTGTGCCATGGGTATATATATATATATATATCAATGCTCAATTCATGAGATCATGCATGATCAAAGTCACCGGAACTCAAGACGGTCTATACTTTTCCAAGTGGGCATTTATAGTAAGCAGTTAAACTCCCTGACCGCGCGGGAGACGATTTGCTGATTTATATTGAGTAAAGCTATTTGATATGGTATATTTGATGGTACTAAGGTCTCCAGAACTAGTAAGATCTAGAAGCAGGTGGGTGGTTGTGCTAGCTAGGCATCCCCGCTAGTTATATACCTATATGTAATAATGAATGCTACCTACGTTTACTTCTCATTATAGAATACATCAATGGGACGGATATATGTATATGTTCGAGAATAATTTAAACCCTTTTTCCAAGTTGGGCGTTGACAATCAACTACCGAGTGATATACTGTGACGGAGATTCCTCGTAACAATAAAACCTTGAGTTCGCATCAGTCTAGAGAAAACCCGTTCAACACAGTTATCTGTTATATGAGAACTTTGCAACTATCTTCGATCAGCTGGTTCTGATAATTTTATAGGGCCTTTGTCGTACGGTCTAATAATAACACATATGGAGACGTCAGGGAGGTTTTTTTTTTTTTTTTGTTTAATTCATTAATTGCATGAGACGTCAGGGAGTGACAATAATATAAAATACAGAATTCACATATACAGTTTAATTTGGCTCACGAGGCGAGTTGCCTCATGATCAATACCTTGTGGTCCCTGGTTCTGTTTAATTCAAGGGAAAGGATTCACGATAACTTCGACGTTCGAGGAGTTTCGAGGCTTAGAAATCAGAGGGAAGAACATCTCCCAGAATTGTTCTTGAGAGTACGGAGCTTGGTTCTATTCACCTCCCCTTCTGTTTTTAAAGTTTTCTAGAGTTCCCGCCACAAAGCAAAAGTCTGGGCGTCCTAGAAAATCCTGAGTGGCTATAGGAGTGTGGCATATATGATGAGTTGAGCCGGATTAATGAGTAAGGGCTGCAATATGTAGAGGTTAACACTGATCAACCACTAGATCTATAGATATAGAGTTTTGTACTGATTGTGGTGGAGCATAGTGACAAGCATAATTCAAGTACCGTTTCATCGGTACTGATGTTGGTTGCCCATAACTTCTCTTAAGCTTTTACAGAATTTGGCAGGAGAATATTAATATGAGTATTGTACATTCCTAAACTAATATATTACTAACTGCTAGCCTAAACTATACCACGAGCTACCTATGTCAAAACTTGAGCTCTGCGAACCTCAATTCTCACTATAGTTCTAATTGAGAAGGTCTACAAATCTTGCGGTCTAGTCTAACTTGAGGTAGCTCACAACCCAAATACGTGGCTGGGACTTGAAAACATGCTCGAGAATTTTATGCCGATCTTGCATTAAGAGGCCGCTGTATACGATCATGACCAGGAGACAGATTAGTCCACAGATTCTGTTTTCACATATGGAGTCTTGTCGAGACCGTCTATCCTGTGGTTACAAGTTACAAAATAACTTTGTCAGATGTAATGTTTGTAATTGCTCAACCGCTTCCAGCGGACAAATGTTTGAGAACTGCATGACTGTAATGATCAATCTAGGGTCACAATAACATGGTTACGTGGCCTAATGGTTAAGGCGCTGGTTTTCGGCATAGCTATTCACCAGAGATTGGGGGTTCGAGTCCTCCCGTGATCGATAAATACAATGTTTCTTTTATTTGATATTCTACCGCTATGTCTACAGCTATCGGGGTTCCAGGTACTACTATTATTGCATAAGAGCTATGTTTTTTACTAAGGGAACACAGTAACATGTTAGAGCGCGTTTGGGGGAAGTGTGGTTTAGAAACTACGTTAAGCGGAAGTCTTGTTAGCACATTGCTAATTGAGAAATATTAAAATAGAGTTTTAGTCTGCCAAACACGAGCTCAGTTAGGTGAATTTTGTTATAGGTTTTGGTGGGGGATGCGCATTGCAATGAGAAAAAATAGGTCTGGCCCAGTTTTTCAGAACTCAGTTATGGTAACGAGATTTCCTTAACAAAGTGGCTTGCCAAACAGGCTGATTTTGAGATAACAGAGTTTTGGTGAAAGTGTGTTGCATAACGGCATTTGGGGGTCTTAACCTCCGTTTAGGTGGTTGCCAAACGCGCCCTTAACAGTTAGAATTACAATTATGTATCTATGAATTTTCCAAACCAAATTCAAACAATCCTTGTCACAATTACTAGAATACTCGCTAATACACATGTGGATACATATACCTGTATTAGTAAACCTAATTTACGCTTACAATTTCCATCGAGTGACTAACCATGAACAAGGTGTCAATGATAGGAAATAAATCTCACAACAACCATTCATTACTAAGGTGATATTTAGCTAGTAAGAAAATTTAATTAATGCAGAATATTTATAAGGGACCCCATGATATTACAGCGAAAGCTTGCTAAAGGGTACCTTCTATAAGGGTAATCGCTCTATAGGGGTAGCACTTCTCGGCCCTTTTTGCCCGGCTTTCAGCACTGACTCCCTTTATATAAGGGTAATCTCTCTATAACGGTACCAAATTCCGGTCCCGAGCGTACCCTTATAGAAACCTTTCGCTGTACTAGGTACCGTCCGTGTGTAAGTAAATATTTTAGGTCTTCTCGTGTTGCAATTAATATAAGAACATGTGGGGGATAACGTAATAGCGAGTTTATATCCACTCTACCAGACATGTAAATGCATCTTTTAATGCATCTTTTTTTTCGGTGGGGTAATGCATCTTTTTTTAGTATGGGTAAACTCGTCCAAAAGTCGTACTTTAAATGTGTTACTTTTAATATGCGTGGAAATGCATCAATAATAGATCAAACAATGAATTATTTAATGCATCATTTAATGCATCAATTGATGCATTAAATTGATGCATTAAAGTACGCATTAAATTGATACATTAAAGTACGCATTTACCTGTTGCCCATAGCGGTAATAAAAACAAAAAGTGAGCGTTGGGGGATTTGAACTGGAGCCAATCTCTCAACTACTCAATGTCCTATCTACTATGCCATAGGTGAGGATGCTATCTTATCATTTGTAGAATTAATGGATGGAGGTTGATGGGGAAAGTACATTACAATGTCGTTGATTGATCGTCTAAAATGAATACTAAAGTCGTATGTGGTCCAAAAGTGTAAAATAAGGACCCATAAATCGTTCATTAATCGTTTTAAAATAATTTCTAAATTATCTCGTGTGTAAATGTATCAAATAATATATCAGGTGATGCATTTACAACTAATATCAATAATCTACTCAACTCAACTTGTGGTTCTCACTCGCTTCAATCTTCGATTACCAATCATTGGCCATCACTCGGTGATTCGACAGTATAATTCCGATCCGTTTAGGATCAACAGGGTCTTGGATACGATCAAAGTTACATGTCACTTTGGAATGTTTCTATTCAGCTAAAGTTACGCGAATTTGGGGTTAGCTCAGTATACATTAATACTAATTCGTCTCGTTAGCTGCAATTGGAAGGGCGAGTGATTTAATGTGATTATTAGTGACAAACCAATTTTCTTCCGAATCGTACCATTTTAACCATCATAAAAAACAAAAAGAGAAAAAAAGAAAAACAAATTATTGAGTTTCTATAAAAGTCTCTCCGAGCATCATGATTCAGAATTGATGATCATCTGCTAAAACCCGGGTATTGAAGCGATGATCATGAATGACCTTTGCGGCTACAGCGCATAAATCTGGTTAATTTGCGAATATGTATCTTGGTAATGTTGCGGGGTGCTCACTACACGTGAACGACATACCTACATACATTATTTATAAGGCTGTAAGTAAGGGAGCCTTACATATACATAGAGTAGAAGACCCAGTGAAGATTAAGGTCATGTAGGCAACATGGATGGTATTTTGTCTCATGCATCCCTAAAAGGGGGCTAGGATCCTGGATCCCGGCAATGTGATCCGCAGGGGCTATCCACTGCATTGGTGGGGGCATTTTACTCGAGGACGGGCCGTCCCGTAGCCGCCGCCGGCACCTCGGCCCCAGTTTCTATGTATTGCGATTTGAGGGGAACTGTAAGCTAACAAGGAAGGTGGGTTTATCTACAGCATGTACAGTGCATGTTCCAGCATCGATTATCAATAAAATCTTCATGTCGCATAGGTGCCAACAAGATTTGAAGGCTTTCCCGAGAGCCTGAAATCATTTTACCTGTTCAAGCCCCCACAATTAATTAATGCAAGGGTGCTACAGATCGATGTTTAAAGGCTCGGGTCGAAGCAAAGGCGTTAATTACTTTAGGTACGTAGAGTACGTACTTAGCTACATGAAGTATGTAGAGTACATGTACCCTATTGTCACAAGTACATGTACGGTACATGGTGCTCTACTTCAGGGGTGGAGAAAAGTCTGTCTCCAAGACGGCATTCTTGGCACCTTTCTAGCTAGGAATAGAGTTGCTTACCCCTACAAAGTACCCCGTACGTAACTGCTGCACCCTGGATCATCTTTGCACTAGCACTCCATGTACTAATTCTAATTGCCAAAGAAACGCTCGAGGCCTAGACACGAGTACCTAATAGAAACTCACATACTCGCTCGGTCCGATATCCCTGGACAATACTCTAGAGAGCTATACTCATGGGTGTAAATACCCGCGAGTTCGAAGGGATTCGACTACATATAAGACTTCGGCTGCAAAAGGACCTACAAAGTGGGAAGGAACATCACCAGCCAATTCAACTGACCATGACCAAGTCGCCTCCCCGCTTCCGATATTGGCCATTGCCGCGTATACGTATCTTGCTCAAGGTGAAAGGTTCAGAGGCAAGAAGACCCACGGAACCACTAGAATGTATACATCTCTAGGCAATGCTATGTGCATGTATACTGGCTATATTCAAGACGGAAAATCAATTCTCTATTGGAAGCCAATAAGCTTATTGCATGAATCGAGCGGCGCGTGACCTAAATAGCAATCGATACTCTTTTGATCTCTGCGCTTTGCTAGCCAATGCCGGCTATCAGGAGTAATGGGAAGACAATCGAATGCTTCGATGCATGATCACATAGTTATGCTTACAGGGTGTACTACGCCAGCCTCAGGATCGATGTTATCGTCCCATATCTGTGCGCCTGTCTTTGCCTTGATGGGGGCCCATCGATATGGTTTAAGCGACGGTAGGTAATATTTATAGGCTTAGATTGCTTCCTCCACTACCCGCATGTCTTTGTTCAGCTCATCTTTGATTGAAATCTGCGGGTATCACAAGTTGTCAAAAGCTTCCGAGATATGCAAAAACAGTGGGGTTGTTATCAATATCCTCCCAGAAAGGTGAGTTTAATGGGCTCGACCATTGGATCCGACTACTTGTACAGTTCTTGTCAACGAGACTTTCTTTCTATGTTCGTGATAACGGCGTACAGATGACGTGGATGAGACAAGAGAGAAGTGATAACGTGTTACCAGTATTGTTAGGCAAGGGTTGCCTGAGTCATGTACCTCCAACTAATTTTGATACAGGTTTCTCAATGGTAAGCTAGGTCCAGCCAATACTCTGTTTTTTTATAAATTCCCATGGAACGGGTAATAAACAGCAAGAACGATGCCTGTTCTGTGCCCCCTAAAAATTCCAGATAAGAGCTCCATCATTTTGCAATACGTTGACACACAACTCAACTAGTCCTAGTCTTGATGAAGTCAATATGCACCCGTGAGAAGATCCGGTCATTAGAACCTCCTTTGAATAATTCCTATATTGGAGGCTCGCAGCATTTCTAAGGCAAAGTATATGCTCAATCAAAATTGCCAGCCATCCCTACTGCTTCTCTTACATTGCCTTCACCGTTCCAGCCTTGCTCCCTGGATCTTAACTCTCTCTGTTTTCTTAGCCCCTCTTCTCGCTTCCTTGCTTTCCTTATCTCTTTATCTTCGTAGCCTTCGCTCTTTCCGGTGCCACTACTAAATAATGTTTCCCCAATTTTTGTAGTGAATGCATCAATTCTTCGCTGGTTCTCTTTGAACCTGAGGTTGCAAACCTTGAGCAAGGTTTTTAAGTATATGTCGTCAACTAGCTTTCTTATCTGTCCATTGGAACTTTCAATTACGCCGATGATCGAATCCATAATGAGGCCATTGCAGCGTATCGCAACCATGGGGAATGAGGATGCCTTAAGACCGGGATTCATTATTCCTGACTCACGAAAGCCCACTGACAGGGCCGCCGTGAGAATTTCATTGGCTGTTTTAAGGTCGGCAGTCTGGATGTGAAGGATCTTTTGAAAGCTTGATTAGTGTATTGCTTTGACAATGCGAAATTCCCCTCCACATACCATTGGCTCAAACTTCAGATGCACAAAACGGGTGGTAGATGAGATATCGAAATCTACTACATCACCCATTCCTAGCTCTACAGGCTCGCATAGCCCTCCCTCATCGCTAGCAGTGTCTGTAACTGCTTTATCCTTTTCACCTCTGAAAAGCATTTCGGCAATTTCTCGATTACTTCTCTTTTCCACGTCGCTCACGGGATCATGAGAGACGAATAACCATTTCCCGCCCTCTCCCTTTCCCCCCATTCCGGCCTGGCCGGCTCTATTTCCTCGATCATCCCCTTGTAATTCCTGAGAGTCAATTGGTTCTGTGCTCTTCTTCACACCCTCAAAAAAGACGCTGATTCTGCCGCTACAGCTACTTGTTGTAAACACCCGATCATGTTGATTTAATTGGTTAATTAGTGAGAGAATTTGAACATCGATTGATCCCTTGGGGGATGCATCAGGAGCTGTAGAGGCAATCTCAACTAGTATTCGAGATTTGTTGACCGCGAAGCGGGCTTCTGGCGATGACATTTTTTCGAGTATATTTCTGAAGGAAAGCGGGGACAAGGGTGGTGGAAGTTAGTTTTGATTCGGATTATAGCATCTGATAAGATAAGATCATGGCAGAAAATTGTGATGACATCATTTCAGGGGTAACCTCGTCTACCAGATGAAGCAGACCTTTTCCCCAGGTCACAACCACAAACCAGCTCTCAAGCATACATACACCCACAACATCAAGTCACAACATTCGAAAATGCCACCACGCAAGACCAAATCTGACGCCAAATCTGTTTATTCGGATGAAATGATAGATAAATCTACACGACGGCGCCAGCCAGCCCGCAGGGCCACGGGAAAAAAGAGTCCCTACTTCGAAAGCTCATCGCCTGAGCCGCAGGAGTCCGCGAACGCGAAACCGAAAAAGAGAGATAGAAGCCCAATTGATACGGCTTCCTCACCAGGTTCTACCAAAAAAATGAAAAGGCCAGAAGAGGTTTTTATACCTATGAGACAAGCTAGCCCTGGGGACATCGAGTACCATGCACATAAGATTCATCCCAATACTTTGGATTTTTTGAAGGGTTTGTTTCATCTTCCTACCATGTCCTTGACAGCTCTTTGAGGATCTACTTGCCTTCTGGGTTGTGGGAAGAACTTAAGTAGTCTACTCATGTCTCCAGATTTATAGTGCCGACATGCTGGTGCACTGTACTCCAATCATTATAAATCCGAGCATGAGTGGGAGTGCCATCGTCAGCTGCTGATTTGGAGACTGGTAACTGTAGCTCTAGCAAAGAACAATGATCGCGCATGGTTTAACGGTATGGCTCTACATCTTCTCATAATGTAATGGCAATTATTTTATTATCAATTTCTTCTCTTGGGCTGTATTCATCTTGGTCTATTCACTCTTGATACATCCCACATAATATACGCTTCAATAGGAGAATAAGAAACTCAAGTATTACCGTTACAGAAAATAGCGGCCTGTTCAAGGGCGCCAAATCCGATTTCGAATCGTTTATTGAAATTTTGAGCAAGTCAATTATTGCTGAAGTGGATGATACAATTCCGGAACTACCACTAAAAGATTTGGTAGGCCTCCTTGATCCTGATATATTAATCGAAGTTCTACTTTTACTTCTTTTCAGCCTCAATTACTTGCTTTCCCCAGTCGATTGATCGACCTACCCCAAATCACTAGGCTTCTTACCAGGCCTGGGACTTCCCTTCTGACGGTATCGACTTTCCTAATTCCGTATCTACGTACGCTGTATCTCACATGATATTGTGGTATCAGTATTGAGAAACACCCCAAAATAGTTCTGTCGATTTGGCGCCCGAATACCAAACCCTGTGCAGTATCCTTTATTTATGTTGAGCTGACGAAAATCGGCGTGATGGAACAGATCTTTCGGATCCATAGAGATATCCGATTCAGTAACGATCGAACGCCTTACAAGGTACGTGTCTACCAGTTAGGTTTTATAAAAGACATTTCTTAACATGTAGTGTTTGCCTTGCTCCGTTTATCAATGCTCTGTGCACATGTTACCATTGGCAACCTTGAATTGCCAGAAATGCATTTGCTAACCGTCCGATTGTTAAAAAAAAAGACCCATTTCTCTGCTGCATGGTAATGATACCATTCAATCGTTACTTTTTGTCCCCCAATGCGTTCGAATACGACGTGGCTCGCTCGATCCACTCAATTACGGCTATTGATGAATCCGGAAGAGCTCACTGGGTGTTGGAAAGATGGAGATGAGGATGGAATATTTCTAATATATCGCCCTAATGCAGGTCGCGGACGGGCAAAAAGGGCCCTTACGCATGCTATTTCTTGTCATTACAGCCCGGAAACTCATTCGTAGGTATGTGGCGATCGTTTGTTGTCAAACTCTATTGAGCGATTTTTCCGTTTTTTTTTTTTTTTTTTCGTGCGCTTCAGCGCTTGCGCCCAAGTCAATTGTCCACGATCCTTGATCTCACCGATTCTTGCCTCGACCAGGATCGTAGACTGGTCTGAAGCAAGTAACACGACTTTCTTTGTTTTTTCCTCTTTGCATGTTCGTGTGCCATGGCTCTTCGAAGGTATACTGGCCAGGCCATATCAGTGTTTCCTTCGACGACCATGTGGTAAAATGGGCCATTGATTGTCCACGTCGCCTTTTTGAAATTTTTATTCCAGGCACGATTTAAGTGAACTGGTGTTTTTTCTTTTTTTATTTTCCCCAAAATTCTTGACACCTTTAACATTGGCTTCCTTGTCGACGGCTTCTCTTCGGTTAGATTAGCGATTATCGGCAAGGAAATTCAAAGCTAACTGGAATGCACAATTACGCAGGAGGTGGTCTCTATCACACTGAAGCCCAACCGCTCAACTTACTACGACGTAACGTTGATAAAAATCCTCGACAGATTAAGAGCATACTTGCTGGGGGGGAGTTGGCCAAAGAGTTTTTTGGTGTCCAAGCGGGTGGTAACAAGCAAAAAGCCGTCCAAGCGTTTGTGGAGCGAAATAAGGAGGACGCCTTGAAAACCGCACCAAAGGTAAGATTTTTTTCTTATGAACTCAGTCACCCGTTGGTTGTCTTTCAAACCTTTCCTTCTGCTGTGCCCTCTTTTCCTTTTCTTTCTTTTCCTTTTCCCTCCGGCTCTCTGGATTTAGATCCATAAGAGATCTACGGTGCATTCGGTTCGTCATTTCTCTTTTGACGACGAAATTTTCCCGAAAATAACAGAGATACTATTGGTTCTTGGTCCCGGAGAAAATTTTGCATCTGGTCTTCCTGACCATATCTTCGGATCAGCTTGTCTAGTCTGGAAAGGGTATCCTGTACCCTGCTATTCCCTTGATACCCCACAAGCCATTGCATCTCATAGTAGTTCCCATTGCAATGTTTATCGTGTCTTGCTCCTTGGGCGGTTTATTCCTTGATATTCTGCGGTGTGAATACTACCATGTATGCGTGTCGCCTTTTTGCCCATATTACCCGCTTCTCGTATTTTCGTAAGCCGCTCAAGATGTTTTGTCCCTTCAGCTTTATTTTTCCAGTCGATATTTCTCCTCTTGTGGTCTGCATAACAGTAGGTGGTACATTATTGATAAAGACTTTGCTGAATCGGACTCGTCTTCCAGAATTACCCGAAGGATCATAAAGAGATTGAATTGCTGAGACTTAGGAGCTATACGCTTGGGAAACGGTTAAGCGACGAAGAAGTTACTGGAGATGATGTTGTTCAGAGAATAACCAGAATTTTCAAAAACATGGAGCCCTTCGTAAGTCATTTTTTTTTTCTTCTTTCTCATAAGGGGTCTCGAGCTTCTCGCCTTGTCGTTTTATTTTTTGCCGTTCTTTTTTCTAATGTTCCATGGTGGTCTTGTGCATCATCATCCCCGTGGTACATAAGAACTCTTTACTTTTTATTTTGTTTCGGCAGGCAACTAAATGACAGCTGTCTGTGTACCCCTGTGTAGATCAGTTATCTCAACAGCGTCGTCATGCCGGACATTAATGCGGAATCTTCGAATGGGGAAGATGCTGTTGCTAGCGGGGAAGAGGATAGTGGTGGTAACTAGAGTAGTAGACGTGGGTACGATTGCGGTTATCGGACAAGGTTGCATCGGGTACTGCCGGACGCGAAAGCCAGTCGGGATACGCACGGACATCGACCGGATTTTCTGGAGGCTCGGACCAAGATGCTGCTGTCACGGAAATCTGACGTTCCTCGGTCATCCCGGTCTTTTGCCATATGATTTTCTTTTCATGTTTACTTTGTCTCGACAAATATTCTTTTTTGGAACTAGGCCCAAGAGCCCTTTCGATTATTTCGAGGGTGTAGGAAAACCTGCTTGCAGCCAGGATATATCGTTAAGCAATGATATCGGCTTTTGTAACTTTTATTTTTATTTGTTCTGGACATTCGAGATTCCCTACCTGTTTCGCCCTCCAGTGCTGGCGACAAAACTGAGTAATGGAGCAGGATATATATGGACGGCATCGCCCGTTTTTCATTATTCTTTGTCGTATGATCCAGTGACTTATTCGGCATGCAGTGGTGTGCTATGCAGCACAGAGCTTGAGTAGATTGAAATCTCATCTGCATTGGTTCTCCGATGTGATAGGTATTGAGGACTCATGTCCTTAACCCAAGTAGGTTGTCGGTAGAGTACGGCACTGTATGTAGAGTAATTTGCACGGGGCGGCCCGTCACCGAATACAGCGATGGGGAAAATTATTGTAGAAGTATGGTAAGAGTCCTATTGGCCAGGGCAGCCACCTAAACCCTGTTTTTAGACCCCTGTTTCTACAATAATTTTCCCCATCGCTGTAGGAAGTTTTGTGGCACAAGCCGCTGACGGGGTCGAGCATTTTGAGAGTTTCTGTCATGATTGGCTAGATGAGGATCTCAAATTGAATACCGAGGAAGCCGCGGCAATACCCAGTTATTGGATGAAAGTTGCAGCGCAACATTCGCTCGCTTGAAGTGGGGTTGGGCTACTAAGCCGGCCCAACACCCGTACGGTCGCCTAGCACGTTTAGAGGCTGAGGTCACTTGCCTGATTTGATGGGTTTCGTTTCTGCAGATGATTGAAACGCGGGGAGCCTGCAGGTGGAAGGTTTTGCCAGAATGTTCGATAGCTCAGCTGGGAACGGGAATCGGTTGCTCACCCGTTCGCCTTCCTTGGACCTAGGCTGACAATTGGTTACTCGTTATTCAGGGTCCTGATCCTCTCTGACTTAGCAACAACCAGACGCACAAGAGCCAGAGACTGAATTTCAGGCAAAGAAAGATGCATGTATGTCTTTTCACACCTATCGATTGACCGAATTCTTACCAAGCAGGTGTGCAATTCCTACATGACACACATATGGGTCGGGATTTGAGGAGATATCGACTATGTTGGTACGCGCGTGTAAGCAGCACTACATGTCCCTATATGTACTTAAGTACATATTCCTCTACATGTACATGTAGTCATATAACTACTGTAGATCTGTAGAGTAACGTTAGCAATGAATCTACATGTAGCTTTTGGTGTTTAGGAGCTCGATATAATGGCGCAAGACACAAGGAAGGCTAATGGGCCATGACGACGTCTCATGAGCAGGTAGGTGCTCCATATACGTGCGTTCATTACCTACAAGTACTCAGTTACTACATTGCTGTATTGCCCTTATTCGACTTGTATTACTATTCTTTGCCTTTCCCGTGATATATTGTAGACCTGTATGTACTTCGAGTGCGTAGTAGTAGTACTCTCTTTACATGAGCAGAGTCCATTGAGTTAAAAGTATGTGCATATGTCCACATGACTGGTGACATCAATGGCTCAAACCTTTTGCCCTTAGTTTCGGAAGTGCAAGATCGTTATGATCGCACAAAGCCCGGGAGCATGTGCATTCCGTCTGCACGTTGATGAACAACGCACATCACGACCTCCAACCTCCAACCACCGTGGTTAAGGACCGCGGTAAGCCTAACGATATGTACCTACCTACATACCTACAGTACACACTCACTCTACAAGCGGCTGCTCAATAGAGTTAATCATTCGAATCATCGACAGTGACGTCGGTATACCCCCGTGCAATTTTCTTATGTTTGTATTCTCGTGCTGGATCCATGAACCCCCTCCCAAACACGTTCGACCCGCATCTCCGGGTGTAATTGCCTGGCCAACCGTGTACCTTGCCCTGAGTACTACTACTATACTACATACATCTCCCCATGCCAACCCCTCCCAACAACCGGATTGCCTACCTGAGTTGCGATAAGCAGGCCCAATGGTTATATATCTTAGGAAATCTATGACGCCTGCACTCCCCTGTGCCTCCGTCTCGGGAGTGTAAGGGTCTCAACCATTGTTTTTGAACCATCGACTCGTAACCTTTTCTTCTCTTTACTCCTTTAGAAAGAAGAAATAGTTGTCTGCATGTTTCACGACTTGCAATTGCTATTTTACTTACTTACGTCCTACAAGTCAGCTACATGATGTACTTACTTGCGGATATATCCACCACCACCATCACCAGCCCTGGCACCTGCTTTTATCTGGATGCAAGCTCTCCTTTCCGCGCTCAATCATGTCGCCTCAATATATATGCAGGTCTTTGAGAGCAGAGCAATGGCAATCACGTATGTAGGCTGTGAGCTGTGGTCGAACTCTGATTCCTCAATTGTAGTTTCCCATTCTACGGGAGAAGACTGGTGTGCAGTTGTCCCCAAAGATCAGTCATGGTGCTTGCTTTCGTGTCCGGCCGGCCCTAGTCCTTTCTTTTTCCTTCTCGAGTATGCCTGGGGATGAACTGTCTCACTTCCCTGAACTTGACTTTGATCCACAAACCCACCAACTTGGAGCCTGTATCAGGCACGTAGCTTGCCATCTCCCCCCTCACCTTCCTTTCCCTCTGCCCCGACGTCTTCACTCCATCCTCACCCCTTTCTCTTTCTTGGTGGGTGCGTCGAGCTTCTCTTTATCGTCCCTCACTCTCGCATCAGCTGGTTCCCCCCGCGCTTTAATCAATAGAATTTTTTTCATTTTTACATTCACCTTCTACTTCCGATCTGATCGTGAGTTGCCAATAGGCCAGGCCAGGGAGGACCTTCTGTCCAGCCAGCCGGCAAGGATTGATCGAGCCTTCACTCGGCGCGCTGTACATGCACCAGTGTTTACACAGCTATCAACCCACCCCCGTTGGTCGGTCCGCAGCATGTATGTTGACCATCTACCCGCCCGCCGAGTGCCATCATAGCCTCGTCTTAAGCGACTAAGGGTTCAGAAAGTACAGCCAATTCCTAGGTCCAAAACATCATACATCTTTTTGCCTACATACGTACATCCATCCATCCATACAGGCACAATCCGCTCGTACGGGGTTTTTGTGTCCGGTCAACATATTTTTTCTTCTTCTTTCTTGACTGTTGTTTACTCTACCAGTCGACAATTTATTGTAGCCATAGGTAGGAGGGGATTTTCTGTCTAACATAGCAGAATCAGACGAAAGTCATCCCGGCACCAGCCAAGTACTACGGGGGGAAGGTCGGATTCCATTGGCGTGCATTGTGTTGTGTTAGTGGTGTCGTCCCTTTATTTGCAATCCCGTTTCTGCAACACTGCATAGTATCACTATTGCCCCCATAGGATATCTATCATTTGTTTTATCGTTTTATTGTTATTCCGTTTTTACTGTTCCGTTTATTCTATTACTTTATTGTTCTTGCTGGCCGGCCGTTGACGTTTCCAGAACAGAAGAGTGCCATACGTTGTTCGGTTTTCTCCTGTTGCTGCTGCTGCTGCTGCTACTGGTTTTGCTGGCTGTGATTATTGCTGTGGTTGTGGTTGTGGTTGTTTTTGTTACCTTGGTAGTCTTCTGGAGTGAAGTGCATATCATAGAGAGTGGGAGAGTGGGAGAGAGTGAGAGAGGTCACCCCCGTCATCTGTCGTGCCGTGATCAGGTCACATATCACCTACCTCCATCGCTGGGAAAAGTCATTGCGAGGATCCTTAAACGGACAAGCCAACCAATACTCACACAGTGGTGGGGGCAAGGATTGGTTTAGCGCTATTAATGCTTGGGGAGGACAAGACAGCTGCAGTGTTAGGAACGTAAGTAGTGAAGCCTCAAGATTACGCCAGCGAAGGACAACACCGGTACCTGGCCATTCCTGAATTTTTACAGTGCTGTTCCTGTCCACTCACCTCCGAGAGTGGTTCCAATTTTCCTTTTTTCATCACCCTTAAACCTCTTCTACTCCCGTCGTCGTGGTGATCTCAGTCAGTTAGGAGAACACCGGCAGGTTTTGGAAGGATAATCCAAGCGCGGTGGGGAGAGGCTCTTTGGTCCCTGCAACTGCACATCTACCGGGTCTACCTATTTTGTTACGCCGGCGGACTCCAAACTTCCCCACCACTACTACCATTACTACCATACCACTACTCTGCTCTACTAACAGTTGTTACTATTATACTACTACCTCCCCTTGTCCTTCCCCCCTCTTGCGCGCCGCTACCCGCCCCAAAAGTCGCACCCCTCCCCATCTTACTCTTACTTACGTCTGTACCGCTATCAACAACCCAAAATCCACTCCCCCCCCCTTCTTCCCCTCCCCCTCCATTTCCCCACCACCTGCCTAACAGGCAATTGTTGATTGATTTTTTTTATATATATATTTTTTTACACATTCAGCTAAATAGAAGAGGAGGAGGAGGAGGACGAGAGACAATTCGAAACAAGTCTCGAATCACCATTGACCGCTTTCTTACCCCCGATTCGAGTCGAGTCTCACATAATTATAACGGAAGCCGCTGGAGTTGATCCGTCCCATCTGCACGCGGCTGTCTCTCCTGCAATCCACCCGCTGCACCCTGACAGCCCGCTCTTCCCGCTCTCCAGGGAAAAAAAAAAAAAAAAAAAAAAAAAAAAGGTGATTGATTTGATACTTAAGGCTTCTCGTCTGTCCCGGGACTCCGGTTCCAGCGTCATCCCATCATCGTCTCCGGGATTCTCTGACCCGCCAGCCAGCCAACAGTAGGAGGAGCGTCAGCCAGACCAAGAACCAGAACCAGAAGAGAGGAACAGGAAGAAGAAGAAGCCTACACCACCATCACGGGTTCAATACTGTGGTTTCTCCTCTTCCCTTCCCCTTCTCCGATAGATAGTACATACGCCCCCATCACCTATATACATTGCCTTATTTTTACCTTGTTGATTGACATTTGCCTTGTTGATTAACATTAAGCACCCGCCCTTCCCTCCTTCCCTCCTTCCATCTACCCATACGCCCATTACCCTATCCACCCACACCCACAACCACCCACACCATAGATACTCACTCACTCACTCACTCATTCACTCACTCACCACACTTACCGGTGCATATCATCATTACCACCGCCACTACTACCAACGCCTAGCACCCGTGCCCCACCCTCCAATCCAGCCTCCACCACCACCACCATCACCACACCCCCTCCTCCCTCCTTTTTTTTCTTCTGACGGGAACCAACGGGCCCTTACATTCCCGCACCGAGATCAGCTGCCTCTCCCACCCCCCCACCCCCGCTCCCCTCCACGCGGCTCCTCTGGTTCGTCAGGTTTCACAGACATTCTATAGCGTCCTGCATGCCATGCTCCCGCAAAACAGGGCTTGACCTTCCTTTAAACTCGCTGCATCCCATCTTCGCTCAGCCACCTCCCCTCAGAGCTTCAAATGTCCTGGAATCCCCCGCCCAGCGGCAACAATCCCCATCCAAACGAGTGGTCGCCAGAAGAAGACCGTGAAAATCTCGGTGGACAATCGTCTGAAGAAGAAGACACCCCCGAGAACTACCACCGAAGACAGCAACGATACTCGGAACAATCAGCATCAGTATCAGGATCACCTGTAAGTCCATTCCAGTTACAATCTCACTCAACCTCAACCTCAATTCAATTCACATCTGCACAGCACCCACCCCCCTCCCCCCCCCCCCCCCCCCCCAAAATCTCCATTCGCCTACTAATAACGTACAGAGTGTCCACCACCCTCATCTCCAGCAACATCCTCTCCACCCCCAGCAACACCATCCCCAACACCAACACCAACAACACCATCCTCATCATCCTCGACAGTCTCCCCCGCCTCCCCCTCCCCCGCCTCAATCACACCAAGTGGGCGACCACAACCCAGATCAAAACATGTCATACGCCGAGATGTATCCGTACAGGATACCCCCACATCAATTGGCGGGATTTCAGCAACCAGCCCCCCGTCAAAGGACGGCAATTGCATGCAGATATTGCCGAAGACGCAAGGTAAATGCTCACCTTCCATTTCAGTTTTAAATGCTAACATGTTTAAGATTCGCTGTTCTGGCTTCGAATCCTCCCCAGATGGTAGATGCGCCAACTGCCTGCGATTCAACCAGGAGTGCGTTTTTACGCCAGTCTCCTCACAGGCTCAGGCGTTTGTACCTGCCCATGCAGCGTTCGGTCGCGGTGCGCCTGGTAGGTCAACTCAACAGATGTTATACGGGGCACACGGCCAGCCACTCCCCGCAAGTTACCTACCGCCTCCCCCTCCTCCACCTCCAATGGATTTTCACCCGCCGCAACAGTACCCGCGCCCATCCAGCCCTACTGGATCTAACCGTCATCCCCCTCCGCCGGTGTACAATCATCCGTACGATGAGCGAATGCCTATACATGATGCAGCACCAACAGAGCGCAACAGGACTCTGGAATTACACCCACCGCTTCTACCGCCTCCTGTATCTGGTAATCCAGGCCAATCGCATTCCCACCCGAGGCGTGGATCCGCAGGTGATTATCCAAATCGCTACGGCCGGAATGACCCGCCCTCCCCTTCGTCCCATCTTGTATCGCCTCATCCCGCGTATTCCCCACCACCAGCGACTGGACCGCCGTCAACCTATCAAGGTCAAAATTACGGCCAGGGCCCACCGCCATCAATCCCGGGGAACTACTATCCGCAGGCGCAAAGCTCTGGCTCAAACCCGAGCCAGCAGCGACCTAGGTCACCTGTAGGATACCATTCCCCGGGTGATCGCTCAAGCGGCTCGCCGCATCCGTTCCACCCACCGATGCAGTACCCGCCGAGACCCACGTCCTCAGGTCCTAACCCAAGCAACCCGAGCAACCATCCCATTCCTTCAATGCAGATGTCCAATCTGATCGACCCAGGACCCCAGTCGCAAATCACGAATCGGAACAATCAACGGTCTGCCGCGGATGGGGACATGTTGGATAAACTCAGGCCGAGGTCAGGGCTTTGATCCATGTGCATAAATCCTGGGCTGGGGTTGATTTGATCTCTAGGGCTCATACGTAAAACCGTCGACACAAATCTGCCAAACGAACAGCACATGTTGGATTATGTCTCGAGCGTCGGCAAATCAAATCGTTGTTTATTAATTATGCATAATCTCATTTTCTTTTCCTTTTTGAATTTTTCACGTTTTGTAACGAATCTTTCAAAAAAAAAAAAAAAGCAGGCCGCACTTGTGTAGGAACCCACCGACTTCGGCACTCCTAATCAACATGTGAATTGAAAGACTACTTCGTTTTTTGCTTATAGTTTGTTTCAGTTTTATCTTTTTTACACGGGCTGTTGATTTCTGGTGGCTTTTTTTCGTCGTCTCTTCTCATGTTTTCAATTGGCTTTCCCGATTTGCATTTCCCTTCGCGATAATGCCAGTATTTACATAGAACGAGATTTGGAATCCTTTTATCGAAGGGTAGCATCAGTTTTACGTTGGTGGTTTTTTTTATACGTGTTTTCCTTTTATCCTTGCTCATTTAGCCCGTAGTTGATTCCGAACTTTCTTTACCCTCATTACTCAGATGTTTATATATTCTCTCTGTACAGTCTTTTATTCTGTCTTTTCCGTCCTTTGATAGCTTGATATCACCACATTCTTTTATTTTGGGGGCTTCGCAAAAATTTCGTGATAATTACTGCATAATGGTTTCCCCTCTATCATGGGATCTCTGGATAGCCCACTTTGAAAGGCAAAGGGTGTTTATCGTTATTTACTTTTGTTTACGATCAAACGTAGCTAGTTTTGTTAGCGCTTCGCGGAATCGGTCAATGTCCAAAAGACCTTTTTTTTTCTTCTTTTTTTTTACATTTGGTACGGTAGTATCGTCTGATGAGAGGGCATGACGAATTTGATTTGAATAAAAGTGAGAAACATGCACGTACGGCAGTAACGTGGTACGAATGTAGTTGGACTGGTCAAAACCTTTCGGCAGCTAGGTTCATTGGTTGTTTGGCACTTGAGTAAGGCAAAGATCAGACGAAAAAAAATATATATAAAACATAAAATCATAAAATAAAGGGATGGGCGTTGCAATGTTAAAGGGAGAAATAGCCCTATTAGGGTTTCGATTGACGTGACATGAAGCTAGTTACCATTGAGTCAAAAAAAAAAAAAAAAAAAAAAGGAAAAGGAAAAGGGAAAAGGAAAAGGAAACAGCAGGAAACAGCAGGAAACAGGAAATTCACGGAAGGGACAAACAGAAAAGGAAAATCCGCATGAAATGCATGCAACAGACCAAGCCTGCGGTAGGCTGTATGTTTATTTCAACAAATAATTAAGAGCAATCGCTAAGCTAAATTCCCAAAGTGCGCTCTCTTTCGTCCGTAACTTGGGCAGAGGAGAGAGGGGGATGCAGAAAGAGGAGACGAAAGAAAGAAATGTTTCGCAAACCTGCATCATGACCAATCAAATTTCGGATGCGCGCTCTCACTACACAAAGCAGAGCAGTACCTGAAGTACAAGTACATATCTACATAAGGTACACAGACATCACTCCATGTAACTGACGTCTTCTCGGTCAGACCAGCCCTCCCTCCCATCCCAGAACGCACCCCACTGGGCGTACATATGGGTTACGTTGCAGCTGTTCCATTTCGTCTTCCCGCCGCTAGTTAAAGAAAAAACCCATGCTCGTTCGTTCGTCTGTCTATCTGTCTATCTGTCTGCCTGCCTCTCCTGCATCCCGCCTCCTCTCCACCGCCCCCGCTTGCCTTATGATGGCCGGTGTGTAGCACTCACATGGCCCTCTCTAATCTTCCCAGGCTGGTGGAAACGTCGAATTGCAAACACGGGTACGCTCGACATCACCGTACGACACGATAGTCCCAAGGGAGGTCTTGTGATGACGATCATTATCGTTGTCACAATTGCCGCTTCTGGGGTTCTTGAGGGGGAGACTCCATTCACCCTGTCAAAGTTGTACGGGTCCAGATCTTGGATTGTAATGCAATCATCCAGAGTTGGCCGGCGCTGACGGAATAGGAGTACAATTCGTATGATTGCAAAGACATAGAGCGGGGTTAGCGCAACGGTTATGATTAAAGGTGTGCTACATAACCGAGCAAGGCATTAATTATTGGTATCAAAAAAAAATTCCTGGAGAAATAGAGGGGGTCCGATAACACAATAATCACAGGAAAGCGGGCAAAGGAGATCTCCCCCCTTGATGTAGCACCAGCCGAATATTGATGATCGCATGATCGGAGCCACCCGGCAGTCATGTTAGAGCCATCATCGAGTGACTTTGGACTAGGCTGAGGAATATGGCCACAACCCAAGTCTACTGCACACGCCATCACTCGGACAGGTTATGTTTCGATAACAACCGCATATTGATTGATTGATTACTTCATTAATTATATACATAACAACCGCATAGACAGCTACCAGAGCCAAGAAAATTGACAGGTTTCGAGAGAATTGAAACACCCTCGGAACGAAGAAGAATTACTATGACCCAACAGAAGAGGCTGTCTGCGTTGGAAAGGCGAGTATGGTCGTGGGTCAATTTACTCACCAGGAGCTCTGAGAGTTAAGAGGTTGGTGAACCAAGAGATAAAAGTGTTGAGAAAAAGGTGAGAAAGGGTTCAGAATATTTCCCCTTCTTGATTTAAGATATCCCAAATAAAAGACCCCTCTACAATTCATCTTATTGATTTTATCGAGCCTTTGCAGTAGAGTACGTTTTCTCAATAGAAATATTTCGAATTTCTCAATATGTTTCCTCAATAAAGTTTGAACACTCTTAACGGAAAACAACAAACTTCTCAATTAGCATAAGCTAAACAAGAGGGGGAGCTCTTTCCCCCACTAACCGGCCAGGGATTGACCAGAGGAAAATTTTCGGTGAACAATTTTCTGACGATGCGGAGTTCAGAGAGCCAAAGAATGTTTCAAAATTTCTTCGATCGATGCCAAACAGAAACCACAGAACAAACCCCTAGTGCAAACAAGTTGCACCGATATATAGATTAGCGTTAATCGGTCCTTTCCGTCCCATTCCCGTCCTCGTCCAGCCATTTGACCAGAGGAATAGACGGTAGTTATAGCTAGTCTCGACTAGGCAGCCCAAACCTCGCCCCAAGATTTTCAAGAAGCTATTCACTTCTCATTCCCGGTTTTTGACCCAACCGCTTATCGTCGCGTTCGGGATGAACCCTCTTCATAAAGTCACGAGGCTAAAAATGAGGGGGCGGAATTTCCGTCGCTACTAGAACTAAAAATGTCATCTATTTGCCGCGGAGGTACGCCCAACGCCACAGAAGCCACACAGCCTCACTTATTTAAAATCTCAAATATGCAAATCTAAGTTTTGTAGCAGCAGTAAAATGCTTATATCCAGCTGAATATTTAGAGATGACATTGGTGGCTCAAACTAAATGCACACTCAATCTCTTCACGCTGTCACAATAGGTCACGATAACTCATGTCTAAGCACTATACTTTCCCTAGCCTCTGGCACTACATTAATAATTCACTAATTTTCACTAGTTGGCAGTTAACATCTGGTTTTGAGCTAAACTTGCTAAATACACCGCTATGGAACCGGGCGACGGAAACGTGTGTGGCCGGGTCTAGAGACCGGTCCGTGACAGGTTTGTTTTCTTCTAGATCAATGGAGTCCCTAGCTTTACTGACAGTTCGATTAGATGTTTCCCTTTAGCGAGTCCACTGCAAAACAAAGCTATAAAGCAGTAAGCCGAAATTTCATGGCCGTACGTTGTTTTAGTTATGTCCATCCTATAGCTCTATTTTTTGCTCCGAGCGCAAAAAAAGGATTCACTTAAGACTCCGCCTACGTTACTAGCCCCGCGGAGAACCCGCCGGAAGGCCCTTCTAACTATGGTGCGAACATGATCTTCCTGATATCGTAGAAGCATAGGAGAAACATCTGTAAGTCTTCACCCCTTGTTTACCGTACTACCAAGGAACTAGAGACCACACATATGCACCTGTGTAATCTAACTGATAATAATATACCCCAATGCGAGCAGTGAATATCTTCACAGGTGTTTCTACAGCGGGGTGCGTACACGCATTCTCCCCAATGAGGGCCATAGCTGAACCGCTCGGGACAAACGCTGCAGTCGAAAATTCGTATCCCAAGCAATGACATAGGAAGTCAGCTGAAATTTGTCACCTTACTGAACGTCACTTTAGCAACGTCAATTCATTGGCTGCAAGCCCAATTGCTTGTGCAGGTATCCAGATATACCAATTACAAATGAGCGGCATGCCTTCAAGTCAACAGGTGGACAGCACATACTGGCATCCCCGCACAGTCCTGAACACAACTAACCCCTAGCTTTCCTCCCCATTATTATGCAATTGCAATAGAGTACCCGCCCCTCCTTCAGAATTCTTCCACCCCTCTTCTCAACAACATTCAATACCCTGTCGTCCATGTACCATCCTGGTCGACGTACCTCCGTGCTTCACATGCATGCCATACCCATACCACAAAGATCAAAAGCTTCTTTAGCTTCCGGTATGGTAGCAATCCGTGATTTCCGGCGGTGTCTGCGGTTGACACCGCCAGACTGCCAGCGCACATATAACACACATATGTGTAGGTATATAGATTCGAGATAAATCAACCGATATTCGTTGCATACATACATATATGTCCAGGCTAGAACAAGGTCTGACAAACGCACGGCCCCTCCTGATCTGATTGCGCCATGGGGATCAATCTACCACTATCGTCACTCTAGGCAGAAAAGTAGGCATCAAAGTCGCACAATGCGTGGACTTACCTGAGTTAGTCTTAGTTTCTTACGCCATGGTAAGAACCCTCGCTCTACGAAATGCACCACAGTGAAGGCGATATGATTCGTGGAGGGAAATATCAACTAGAGACTGGTCATATGCCAAGGTCCTATGAGGCTGTATAGAGACACTTTGGAAAAGCTCGAGCCCACTTGTAGGCAGTGCACGCAACTATTTGTACCTAG